GTGTAGTGTGTGTGTGTGTGTGAGAGAGAGAGATAGAGCGAGGAAGAGAGAGATAAAGTGTGTGTCTGTGTGTATGTGTATGTGTGTGTGTGCGAGTGCCTGGCGTGTGTTGGGTGTGTGTGTGGGTGTGATGTGTGCATGTAATGGTGATGTGGCGTGTGGCCAACTGATTAGTGGGTTGATTGAATAATAATGGTAATGTTCAAATTATGCTTAATGACTGTACAAATTTAGCTTTTTTTAGCCATTGGCTACTAGAGGAAATAAAATGTATATGTATTGAGATATATGTATTGGTCAAAGATTTCTAAAAGAGAAAAGGGGAATAAAAAACTAAAGTCAAGAAAAGATAAATACTCAAATGTGTAGAGCATCATTTAATTTGACATATTTGGCGAATTTTTAAAAGAGGAAATGGGCAATAAAAAACTAAAGTCAAGAAAAGATAAAATAGTATAATTTCTAGAGCATCATTTAATTTGACATTTTTGGCACCGAACATCACGCGAGCCTTCTTGTTGGCCTTTAATTAAAACTAGTACAATGCTCGTGAACTAAACGGGTGTAAAAAAAAATTATTGTGCAACAAAGAATGAAAAAGAAATAAAATTCTTATTATGAAACAAAAAACTATAAATTATTAATAATGAACTAAGAAAATATGTCATAATGTTTTAAATTCTATAAATATATTTTGTATGAAATAGTATTTATTTTATTTAAATCATATTCATTTTCTCAAAATTAAATGGAATAATTAATTTATTCTGCAGTAACAAGTGGTCATTAAAATAAAAATATAATATTTATATCAAAAGAAACAAGGAAAATCATTACTTCGGCAACTGAGTGAAAATATTTGTGGGATGCTCTCCTGAAGGTTAATGTTTCGTAGTTTTTTGTGGAATAGATGGTAACCGAGCTACCCGGACTTGGGTCGTTCTCAAAGGAAGGCTATTCGGAGCTTTGTTTAATAGTCAATTGCCCAAAACACACAAAAATCAAACAAATTCCTAAACATTCTAATCAATAGTTTGAGAGATTATAAGCTAATTTAACTAAGAAAATAGGTAATAATTAACCAAGCATGCAACTATAATTAAAAACTCTAGCTTACTAAATCAGAGTGTTCAAATTCAAATAACAAGAATGGAAACAAGTGCAACGAACGACGCCTAAATGCGTCTAAGAGTTAAAGCCAAAGATTCTATTGTGAAATAACCGAGTTTGATACCAAAGTCACGACCTTTCTAACAAATATTCGAACTTTAAACTATCTACACAATAACTGAGCTCACAAACGATAAGAAAGGGAAATAAACTACAGCTAGCAAAATACTCCACAAATCATCCCAGCCCTAAATCACTTCTACAACCGAGACAGTAAATAGGTGCAAAAATCAGGATAGTAATCCTTAAGACTAAGTCCTTACTTCCCTATGCGTGCTCAAGCGAAGACGGCGAAGAAAAATCAGAACTTGCATAAGAAACGAGACCAAAAAACATGAGTTTAAGCATCCATAAGCATAACTAGAGAGAAAACTAAGCATAACATAAGATCAAAAGAAGGAAAAATAGAATAATGAGTCCAGGTGCTCTCAAAAACAAAGGACCAAAAATATATATAGTCTAATGAAAAACACACACTGAAAAATTCACATTTAGTAGGCACACTCGCATGTGGATAAACGGCCCGCTGGTCGCGGGCACAGGTGGCAAGGCGTGGGCGCGACACGGCAGCACTTGTGATGTGCTTGATTGCATGCGGGTCGCGGATGCGGGGCTGCACCACTCGCGATGTCGTGGAGAAGGACGTGGGGCACGGTGCATCCTGACGGCACTCGTGCGGTCGCGGCCGTGCCTTCGTGGTCGCGAGTGCTGGGCATCGCGACGCTCGCCAGGTCGCCGGCTAACTCCCGAGGTCGCGAATGTGCAGGCCTCCTAGTGAAGCGGCGCTCGCGAGCGTGCTGTCTGGGGCACTAGGTCGCGGATGAGACAGGGCACAGGACAAGTCATCAATTGACAAAGGCTCGGAATACTCGGAATTGATCGGGAACAGCTCGGGAACACTAGACATTACTCTAAAATAACTCGAGATTTCTCTGAAAGGGCTCGAGACTTCTTGGAAATGGCTCGGGATCACATGGAAATGCTCGTTTATCAAGATTTGGTTCGACTCTTGTCTTTTGTCC